TCATCTCCCATGTTAGAATGTATACACTAGTGACGGTCACCCTGGACTATGCGGAATCAATTCTATTTAACCAGCAGACTGATGAATTCCATTAGGTTAAAGATGATAAAAGTACAACTAATGGCACTCTAACAAAGAAGGTGTCCCGAAAATCCCATGTAGTTAGGAATCCATTTTTTATGATGAGACGCAAAGTTTCAACGCTAAAGACTGCGGCATGTTAGCCGTTTGCAGTTCAGAAAAGGAAGAGGTGCATGTCCCATCCAATCAAGAACGCAGTTATCAAGGGTTTTAACATATTGTCATAAAACACTCCTACAGCAGGATACATATAAATCAAAATTTTATAACACTACAGAATACAGATGATTATATCACAGCATGAGGCATAACCAAATGCCATGGAGGAAATCATTAAACCGATCAGTAGTTTCCAGCAGAGATTCGAACAATTCAGTTACTATGCGAGCACATTAAACTAGGCCATGGAAAGAGTTAAACCACAATCTGTTCTTTGTGTGGGAAGGCAGCCCTGCTCACAGCAATCATAGCCCATGATAAGACCTCCCTATCTCCATACCCTTTCTGATGCCATGCTTTCAGCTTTCACTGCAACTACAAAAAGTTTGTTTATCCCCCTTTGAAACATATGCAATAGGAACCCTGCTCAAGGAAATGTGGGCTTAAACATGCTTTGGGAATTCACTTCCTATACATATAACCTGACTTTTAAACTATGATTTATTGATATGACTAAAAAACGTACATCTATACACTCATAAACTAAAAACTTGAGAATGTAAAGAGTACATGGAGGGCAGCTTTGTGTCACTCATTTTACCCTTTTCATGCTTTTAAAAATGCAGAATTATTTTAACAGATATTAAGCAACGCGGGAACTCTTAAGTACTTGCATCCTTAAGTACTATGTTCAGTGACATTTCGTTTTTCTTATAAAGACATCAAACATATTTTCGATTACATTTGTTTGCGTTTCAAATCATCTATCACGTAACAGATCTCAAAATTTTAATAAATTATTTTGAAACAATCAAACTGCAAGTTGAGGGTTGAATTTAGAATGTCTCAGTAACTGCACACAAAACAACGTTTTATGAAGTTGCCTTGAGTTTGTCACCGATGCTGCTAAGTAATGTTTTAAAAAATTGTTTTCATTATTGTTAAATAGGAAGAGCAAACTTTCACAGTCCACAAAGTTGCCCTAATATATTTCAGGGCTATACTATTATGAGGATTCCATTCAAGTGAAGCACTTACTGATAAAATATGTGCTCAAAAAAATGATGCTAAGTAGAGGTTTGCTATGTCACATATATTTCTGTATTAGCGTGCCTAAAATGTCATCTCCGAAGTGTGATTGTTTTCTAATGCTAAGTTGCAATATACTTTTCATAATTTTGAGTGGCATTAATATGAGGCACAGTAACTGTCTTCATCTCAAAAAAAGGTGATTAAGGTATTCAAACGTCCTAATTAATAGATTATCACAATAACACTTTAAACAATTATGAAAATTATTTTTTAAAGCAAGGCATCAAAGTGATCTAAGATCTAATGGCTCTATATTATCACCTTGCTCTTCCAGAATTTTTATTAAAATACACTGGGATTCAATAATGCTCTTTAAAACTTCTTTTAGTTTAACTAAATTGATAAAATAAATAACTAGTTACAAGTTTCAAATATAAAAGCAAACAGTCCTAATTCCACTAAAAATATTGATTTTTCTTCACAGCAACAAAGGTTTCCATGGAAAGAATGGAAAATTAGACCAATATAGTTGGTAATGAATAAATACTAGATGTTCTTGGAGTATTGCTATTTAACGATAAACCATTTAAAAATGCAACTACAGAACTTGAAAGACAATGAAAAAAAATCAATGCAAACATGCCAAGTGAAAGTTATATTATTAAGGATTTTACAGTCATTTTAGAAAAAGCAAATTCTATCTTATATATGATGGTTCTTAATTATCCTTTTATATCTGATTCACAGTGATGTATAAATACTGATTTATAAATACTGATTTATAGATCCACTGATACTTTTGCATAACATTCTGCTACATATCAACTTTAACGGTAGCTCTTTTTGAATTAAAATCCTTTCTAAAAATCTCGACATTTCAACAATTGAAACTTTATAAAGTTTTCAACCAATTGAGAATGTTTCTCTATTTTGTATTTTAAAATCCAAAAAAAGTGTTTTGCTACAATTGTAAGGCTCTTCCAATACAAAACCAAATTATTGATCTGATGGAAAAGCAACATAATTAAGGTGCCCCTACATTTACAACACCTTACCTTACCTATAAAGTCACATAGAGAGTATTAGTTAAGTGAGAATTCTAAAGCTATAATACCTGCTCTTGCATAGACTTTAAATCCCAAAATAGTTTTAATACATCAACATAGATTTACATTATTAAACAGTAGATAATATTAGTCACCATGAATTAGTGTTGGTGAGTATGTATTCTTGCTTACTAATGTGATAGCAGAATGATGATGCAGTATATGCTTCGAACAGTCCATATGTCTAGAAGCTGCAATTTTATTTTTAACTTACACAAGTTAAGGTAAAGTTAGTGAGTTTTCAATACATGTTTAGAGGAAAGAAAAAATGCAGTGTATGTAAATCACTAGCAATGTTTCTAAAAAGCCAATGCTGAAAACATAAATTAAAACAGAAAAGCAATCGTGTACAGGTGAGAATAAGTGAGTCAGTACTTTGCAAGTGTAAAGCTTATCTCAATTTGTTTTATTTGAATAATGCTTCAATAATGTAAAAATAATATCAAATGGCCATAGTTTACCAGAAAGCGAAAAAAAATTCCTGATGATGGGTAATATGAAACGTCACTTTTACAACTAAAGGAAATTCGTTTTACCTGACACAGTTCAATCATCGTATTTATTGGTCATTATTCTTAGCTTTTAAAGGACAAATAGCTCAGCAACTCATTTTTCCAGTTTTGTTAAATTAAAGTGCACGTTTACTTGCTGAAAATAGCCATATCTAAGTTAATCATACTCAGATGCCAAACAAAATATAAACAATAAAAAATGTGTCAGCCAAAAAGCTACAGGACTGTATCCAATCACTGAATAAGCCTTATCATTGTTTTCATCTTCATTCACAATTTATGAATGCCTCAGTCCTTTTGAATCACAATGGCTTCTAATTGTCATACAATTGAAATCTTAATCATTTGTCCCTTATAAAAATGCATCATCGTGATATTGGAATATTTTTAAATTGCAACACACCTAAGAGGAGGTGACCCTTCTTTAACTGTTTAGTCTTTACGCCAATGTCAAAGAAAATGGTTATAGATGACCAATCATGCTACATCCTCCTAAAAGCTAAAGTAAACTGCCCCACACCTACAGAGGTTTAAAATACTGCTTCAAATAACAACTCAGAGCTAAGATACTTAGTGAGTTCCTTAGCTGGTTAGTTAGCTGGGCAGCGATGAAAACCACCCCCAGGTAAGTCTATTCGGTCTGGTCACTTTTCCAATTGACCGTCTGGTTTAAAATTATACAATTTCTGCTCTTTCAAAAAGTATAAAGCCAGGATTTTATTTCATAACATTGTTCCTAAAGTCTTAGGACAATTTTCAACGTGCATATTTAAAAAAAAAAAAAGACTTTACTTTTTCCAGCATTACATTCTGCCATAGGAGCTACGCCTGAAAATCGTCAAATGAACAGGTCTGCACAAAATGAACGTGTTGTAAAAGTCCTTAACTTTCACCACGACCAGCTAACTGGTGTTAAGGTAAAGGCTACCTTTGTGGCGGGGTCACTGTAAACAGCCAAGTGCAGATCATGAAGGACCAGAGTTTCAGATCCCCAAAATTAAGCAAAGGAATGGATCCCCCCGACCACAACCTCCGCCTGGCTTCGTCGCCGGGCCACAGCCCGCAGCGAAGTCCAAAGGTGCCCACGAGGACTCCTGCTCGAGTCCCCTCGTCCAAGTTCACTGGTGGCTGATCAGGGCTTACTCCCTCCTAAAGCCCCTCTAAAGCCGAGGCTGCCGCAGGGCGCGCGAGCAAGAACCGGAGGGGTGGCGGGCACCTCGGGCAGAGGCGCCGCGCCGCAGCACGCACTCCGGGGGCCGCGCAGGGACTAGCTCTCGTGGGCCCGGGCCCTGCCCACCCTCGGCGGCCTCGCCCTGGCAGCACGCGGGCGCCCGCTCTCCGTGCCCGGAGCGCGGGGCTGAGCGCGAGCGGTGGCCGTGGGCTAGATAGAGGCCGCGCGCCGGCTCCCACGCCGCCCGGTAAATCCCGTCACAACTCCCTGCCACTTTTTCGAGGGACGGGGGTTTCAGAGGTTAAGTTTTTTAAAAAAGCCTTGAACTGTCTGCAGAGGAGAGCAACATAACAAAACAAAGGCATTTCGGGCTGGAGAGAAAGCCCCAAAGCGCGATCAAGACATGTACCTGAGTGAGACAGATGGGAGAATACATCATGACTTCGCCTTAAAAACGCACTTTCCAGGAGATGCCCAAGACAATCTTCGAGATGCCAGAATTTCATCTATTCATTTTACAGTCATCGGAGCCCCGCGATGAGATCAATCAGGACGGGGTCGCTGGATCGCCGCAACTTCGCAACAAACCCAGTCCTCCTTAAATAGCCAAAGATTCAAGTTCACTCGGCGTGCTAGATTTCCCGGGGTGAAATCCAATCTACACTTTTAGACCTTGCCGTCCGAGCGCGCCGGCCGTGCTCTCCCAGGCCGCCGCCGCCGCCGCTGCCGCTGCCGGTGCTGGTTGCTTTTCGCCTGGGTTTGGGGATTTGTTTTCTGCTTTGCAGTTGTTGTTGTTGTTGGGAGCTAGGAGGTGCGCGAAGGATCGGTGCGGGTTGGATTGGGGTAGTGGTTGGTGGTGAAATGCTTTTTTAAAAAAGGCGGGGTGGGGGGCGCAGGAAAGAGGGCGGGAGCAAGAGCAGAGAGAATGTGTCACCGCACTGGGAAAGTTCAAGGTTACAGCCCGGAGCCCTGCCGCAGGATTCCCGAGTGGCGATCGCAGGCGAAACTTTGCCGCGAGCCGACCATGTGTGTGCGCGAGAGGGAGCGTGAGCGAGTGCGCGCGGGTGGCGGGGCGCGCGCGGGAGAGGGCCGGGTGGGGGCGGGGTGGGGGTGGGGGAGAAGGGAGAGGCCGGGGTGAGGGAGGGGACGCGAGCACAGGTCTCCCGGGTGGAAGAGGCTCCTGACGCGCGGTCCCCTGGCTGCAGCCGCCGCCGCTCGCGCCGGCTTCTCCACGCCCGCCCGGCCGCCCACCTCGCCCCGCGTCTGACCCGGCCGAGGGAGGAGGCTGCCGCCGCCGCCGCTGCCCAGAGCCCAAGGGGATCGGAACGAGCTCCTGAAAAATCCCAAACGAGAAATCCCGCTCTCCCGCTCGGCTCCAAACTCCTCTCTTTTCTGCTCTGGGCTCTTTCTCCCCCCCCCTCCCTCTCTCGCTTTCTTTCCTTGCAAAACTTGGAAGTTGAAAAATTCACCGGTTCCACCCTCTGGACCCCGCTCGAGCTCTCTCCAAATCAGACTTAAGGATTGTTTTATTATTTAATTACACAATCATCGCTTTACTCCTCCTCCTGCAAACGCGCATTCCTTTTGCACCAGCCTCTCCACACCCCCGCCCCCACCTTCCTCCTCCTCCTCCAGCTTCTCTTTCCCTCCCTCCCTCCCTTCTCTTTTCTCTCTCTCCTATGTTCTCGTCTCTCTCTCTCTCTCTCTCTCTCTCTCTCTCTCTCTCTCTCTCTCCCTCCCTCCCTCCCTCCCTCCCTCCCTCCCTCATTTGTTTAAGGCTTCATACCAGTGCAACAAAACCATAGTTGTTTGGGGGGGGGTTGTGTTTTTGTGTTTTGGGGTTTTCTTTTTTTTTCCAAAATAGATCTTTCCGCCCTTTTGGTAAGTCCTGCACCCTCCCCACAACACCACACACACACACACACACACACACACACACACACACACACACACACGAAAAGCCGCCCTGGAAGAGCTTTCGGTGCTCGTTGCGGACTCTTTAAGCCGCGGGGACAGCCGAGTGGGAGAAACACTGAGCCGGTCTGGGCCCGAGAAAGGAACGAATGGAAAATTCCCTCACACCCCGGCCGCCCTGGGGCTCAGGCTGGGGCGCCGACTCTCACACCCCGGGCGGGCGCGGTCCGGCTCACCCGCCGGCGGAGGGGAGGAGGGGGAGGCGGGGGAGGCGGGGGCCTGAGCGAACTTGGGCTCAAGTAGTTGGGGCGCGCCGGCGCGTTAGGAGGCGGGGTCTGCCGGGGTCTCCCCCTCCGGGGCCCGCGCCCCAGGGCTGCCCCGCAGCAGCGGCGCTTCGCCGCGGCGGCCGCCCTCCCTGGGGTGCCCCCGTGCACGTGGCCCAGCTCGGAGAGGGAGGACCGGACCGAGCTGCCGCCAATGCCCGCTCCCTCCTCCTCCTCCTCCCCATCCCGCGGCCCGCTCCGCTCCCTTCCTCCTGCAGCTCCGCTGGCTCACTCCCAATCCCCACCCCCCACCCCCTAGGGCCCGGGGCGCCAGCGGAAAGCGGCTCCCTCCCCGCCGGGGTGCAGGCTGGGCGGGGCCGCGGCGCGCTCGGGCTGCGGGGCGGACGGGCGGGCGGGCGCGCGCGCGGGATGCGTGTGCCGCTACTGCCCTGCAGAGGCGGCCGCGCCCGCTCCGCTCGGGCGCCGAGGGCCCCGCCCCCACCCGGGCCGCCGGCCGCAGCCCCGGAGTGAATGAACTTGATTTTGGGTCTTCTGAGGGTGGAGGTTTGCTTTGCACCCTCTCTACCGCGGCACACACTCTCTGGCGCGCTCGCAGACTCACGCACGCCGCCCCCAAAATGCCTGTTTTCCGCAGAGGGTGGGTGGGAAGAGGTAGAAGCAAAGGCTGCCCAGACAATGGAGAGGAAAAGTGAGCGCGAAGAACTCCGCGTCTACCTAGCCGGGGGCTGCCGCGGAAGGTTGGGGCCCGGAGTGGGGTTCGACTGCCCCAGCCCCAGGAGCGACACCCCCACTTCCAACTGTGCTGTGGGGGTGTTCCGAGGCTCTCCCCTGACTCCCCGTTTCTCTTACCCTCTCTCCCTCCCTCTGGATTGTTTTTTCTCAACTTTCTCCTCTCCCGGTCTCACCCGCTTCTGCCCACGGTCCCCCCCTTCCCTCCCCGCCGCGGACCTGAGGCAACCAGTGACTTTTCCTTCCCCAAGTGGGAGTTATCCACATCAAGCATTTCACAACGACACATCAAGAAAAGTAGGCAGGTTCAAGTCAACCATGAAATGGTCACTTTTTAACCCCGTCCTGTCCTCATTAGGGAAATGCTCAAACACAGTCCGTTTTCAAAGAGCGCTCTTAATGAGGCGAGCTTGCCAAGTCTACCAGCTGCAGCCCCCGTCAACCAAGGGCCCGGAGAAGAAAGGCGCTGGGGGTGGGGAGTGGAGGCCGGGGAGAGGGGGCGGTGGATCTGGGAAGGCAGGTAACGTCGGGGAAATTTCGAGAACTAACCCCGCGTTAACCCTTTAGGGCACAGCCTCCTGCTCCCCCGAGGCAAAATCCTCCAGTCGGCGTTCTAACGACGTTAATTTCCTTTGTGTGGGCCTTTTCTTCTTTTTGAAAAGTCAGGATAAAGTTGACAGTCTTTACAGATCAAAGGCATGAGGTGACCGCGGGGGTTAATCCAAATAAATACTCATTTATCTCTCGGAAATTTTTAGGCAATCTCATTTTAAATGTTTAAAAAATTCCCCCAGCATCACTTCGTATTGTACATTACACTGCATCCCTTTCTCACCGACATGGGGGCGGGGGGGGGGGGGAGCAGGCAGGGAAGCTCTACTGATAATACCAGCTTTAACTACTAGAGTTTCCCTTTGAACAGATATTCAATTTAACCGGAGTTAATTTACCATAAAAGACATTCCCCATGGCATAAATGCACTCATGTCCTTGAACACACCTCTTTGAATGCCTGGACTCTTACAAAAGCCATTATTTTTCGGGGTCTCTTTAAAAAAAAATCAAGTGCCCGTCTCTCTCTTTCCCTCCCTTCTTCCCTCCCTCCTCACCACACCACCCCCAGTGAAATCCTGGCACCCAGAGAGCACTCCTTTCAGCCAGAGATCCAGCCGCTGTCCCCTGGCAAAAGAGGCCCAGTGCTGAGCCCTGGGCAAGTGTCTGCAGACATCGCCGCCCCTCCTCCCTGATGAGTTTCCCTTACCAACAGAAACCATTTCCTTTTGTCACCAAAACTAGGTTGCATCCAAAAGTTTCCCACAGGCTTAAAAAGGGAAAATGGACAACCGTTACACAGAAGAGCCCACAAAAGCTGCAGCAACACACAGAGGGGTAAAGGAGCAGCCACAGACACAGGTAAGACCCCAGAGAAGTGAAGACAGTCTGGGGCCTCCCGGGCCTATCCCTTAGGGGTTCAGATCTCTTCCAGGTGCTCCATGTCTGTAGGGCACTTAAGGCTGGATACAGTTTTGATGGGCACAGCGGATGCTTGGTAGTTGGGTTTTGATTTGTTTCCAAGTAAGAGGAAAGGGGGAAAGGAGTAATTTTGATGTGGGGAAAAGCCAGGAGGGAGGAAGAATAGGCAAAAGAGACATCCTGGAAGGGCTCATGGGGTTGGGTGCTCAATTTCTGTGGCTTTGACTGTCCTCTCCTAGGCAGGATGGCTGACATCCCCCAAAACACTGCTTCTCGTCCAGCCAAATCCAAGGTCACTGCAGGCCTTCCCAGGGTGAACTCTAAGAGAGCCCTTTGTAAAGAGGGGCTGGTGTGTTTGCCTGTGGGGGACATCTGGCTTCTCTCAGCACAACACTTGTCCTCCACTATCTTTGGTTTGAGAAATACCAATCTTTTAAACCCCCAGGAGAACAGTAGAGAAGAGGAAGTGAGAAAGTATTTACATGTTATCTACTTTCCTTTTTTCCCCTGTATGTCTGTGCCATGGTTTTAGGAGTGGTTTGAAAGTATGTCTGAGAAGCTTCTGATACTATAAAAATGGGTCAGATACTTCTGAGACTTTGGCACTTACCTCTCCTAAATTCTTTCTTCTCTCTCTCCCACATAGAAAGGTTTAGAGAGACAGGCCAATTTCATTCACCTCCTAAGCTGGCTTGAAGAGCTAGAAAGTGAAAGGTTCCTGCAGCAACAGGAAAATCTTATATTTCAGAATTCCTAAATATTTCCTCCGTCGATCATCTATTACCTACAACCTTGGGGGCGGGGGGAGTTTCTTTTCTGACAGATAGTTTATTGATTTCAAGAAGGAATGCCTGTGCTTCAGGTGACTGGATTTTTCAAAACTCAGTTGTATAATTGCAAAAAATGAAGCAATGTTTACCCCCATTGAAGCCTTTCACTGACCTCCAGAGAGGAGCTTGACATCTCAAGTATCTCCTAATATTGATTTTCTGTTAACCTTCTCCTTGCTAAAGAAACTCTGTGACAGGTTGCAAATCCTAGGCAATTTAGGGAAAAGTTTCTTGGAGCTTAACAAAGCTGTCATTTTCAGCATACCGGATGACTTTTTTTTTTTTTTTTTTTTTTTTTTTTTTTTTTTAGCTCTTGCCTGTGATTTGAGGGGAGGCTCAACAATTCCACACACCCTGGCTTCATTGCCAATATCAATATTTTAAAACTAAATACAAAAGAGACAGATGACCTCCTGACCCCAGGAAATAGGCCTGCAAAACTGCAAGTATCCACTACCCCATGCCCAGGGACCTTTCCTTCTTCCAAATGAACCACAAAAAAAGCATGTGTAGCTTGGAAAACACAGTTTTATATCCACAAGCCGGAACACCAAAAATCCTCTCAAAAAACACATATATAAACAACCAACAAGTACTGACATTGCCTGTACTTGAAGGGAATTGCAAAATCGTGCCCAGCTCTTTCAGCCTTTAAACTACTACTGTCAAATTAGGATAGCAATTTTTCCCTACTAGAAAATTCACAACCAGTTACCTCCCCACCCCAACCCCACCCCACCACCAGGGCTTTCTTTGCCTTTCACTGAAATGAATAAATAACCATGGACTTCTTTTCCCTCCTTCGGAGGCTGTTTGGTGTCCCCTGAGAACAAAACTAAATGAGAAAAAATGACGCTGTTAATAATGTCACTGCTGAAATGCCTGTACTCAATTGTTTAAAAAAGAAAAAAGTGTCCCGCTAAGTGTGCCTACATTCCAGGCACACTTACAAGCTAAGGCGGAATCTGAGCACCGACTGGGCCCTATTCCTCCATTAAGGTTAGACACTTTCCACTCCTCCACAGAGAGGAGGCCAGTTCATCAGCAGAGATTCCCAACTGCTGAAGACATCTGCTCCCAGGATTACAAAGTCAGCAGTTAGTTGCCCTGTAACTTTTGCATGATTTATTTTAAACTTTGAAAACCGTGGTAATAATTGCCTTCATTCACAATACTTCAGAAGTTACATACACTCTCACACACAACCTCTGCTCTGCTGATACTGAGTCGTAGTTATTGTCCTTTTTCAAAATAGCTGAACGGTAAAGTAAAGCTTTCTGTCACTTTATTTCTAAGTGTAAATTGACTTTTGCTACCCAGATACATATGCCTTTGTGACATGGAGACAGATCAGTTTTAAAGAGATGTTCAGAATGTTCTAACCAAGATGGCCAAGGAGTCATATTCTGTATTAGGTATAGAAAGTCCATGGCAAATCAACTCGAACTTTCCGCATCCCTTTCTCTAATTCTTCCCTTCAAAACTGCCATTCTCTTTGAAAATCAAAACAACGGATAACAACATAATTGTGCATTTTAACTTTCAAATTAAAATTTAGCAAACACTTGCATAAATTACAGAGAAAAGACCAAAAAAAATGAGCCCATACACATTTTTCACAGTGAACTGTATCCCTGAAATGTGTCTGAAATATTTTAACCCAACAAGTTAATAAATATCAAAGCAATAAAATTGTCAAATTGTGTGATGTCACAGACTCCAAAAGCAAAGTTACAGATGTTTGTGACATCACATTCACTCATAATTATGCTGCTGCTCAGTCTGACTATATTAAAATGAAATGGATGCCTATGTCTGCTAAAGAATAAAAAGAAATTTATTTTGGACATCAAACAATGAAACTGTCACCATTTATTGTATGAAACACTCAGCTAATCAATTTCCTATTAAAACAGCTTTCAACAATACTTAGCTTTTTTCAAATTCATCGGAGCCAGTAAAAACCTTTTTCCAGTGCACAAGAATGCAGTCCCAACCACGAAGGATAATTACCCTTCTAAATACTTTTATTGCCCAAGCACTTTTTCCTGTGCTCCCCATCAGTTAAGCAGGAATCTGCAGTATATTGTATCAGTGAGTTGGAGTGCTTGACCTTTGCCCACATATGATTTAATAGGGACTTTTCAGCGCCTGAGCTTTCTCCATCTCTCATACCATTAAATGAAAACATCAAACCTCAAATGTAAAACTGGAAACCACAACGTTTTGTGTTTCACAACTCTTTGCAGTTTTTCCTTAGGCTGCTTAAAGGTCAGCTTCTGCCTCTCACAGTGCTCTCCCCCATGCAGCAAATGTACTCCAAAGTCACACTTATTCTGATTTTGATTAAATCTCGAACTCTCCAGTCAGATACACACATGCACCCTGCTTATTTACACGTGCATTCTTTTCTAACCACATAAGCATGCATGTATGACTTTCTGGATTTATTCTACTTTAGGGCTGATTTAAATGTCTGTTCAAGGATGGGTTCAAAAGTTAACTTTTTCCTGCCTGTTGGAAAGTTAAAATTACAAAGTAGGGTGCTACAAGATCTGTTCAAAGCAAGTTAGAGTTAATCTTGTGTATTTTGGCGCCCTTTCCCTGCCAGCTACTGTACTTAGTGGGGAGGAGGAGGGAACTTGGAGATCTAGTCTGTCCTGTCTCAAGTTCAATGGCAGTTCTTCTAACCCAGGAGAAGATGGCCATGTTCACAGCCCTCATAATAATTCCAATCACGCCACTTCGGCATCTTGTGTCAAAGTCGAAACTGGCTTCCCCACCCCCTTCAACCTAAAAGCTGCCAAGTCCTCACACACTCTGCATTCAACCACAACTTAATGGATGGGATATTGTGCATTAAAATGTGTCCAGACGTACTGGTGAAGAGAGGACAAGGGACACACACACACACACACACACACACACACACTCACACTCACACACAGACTTAGCAGGGGAAAAAAACCTACAGCAAAAACAGCAGGGCAGGAGGGGAAAAAAGTTTTACTAGGAGCGGGAAGAAATCCATCATAATCTTTTGTTTTTCTAAGGGGTGGGGGGGGGGAGGAGGAAGAGGGCTAACAATTCAATCCTGCTTTGCAATGAATATTGATTTTAAAAAACTCCACCGCACCAATCAGAGCGAGATAGTACTTCCCTCACTTAAAACTGCACTTTTAAATGAGAATATATACAACAAAACTGTGCATATTCATCTTAAAATGGAGAAAAGGCGGATGCAAAAGGAGAGAATGGACTACAAGGTACAAATGAAGTCTCATCTGTACAGTAACTTTTTCCAAAATTGGGGGAGGGGAAAGTAGGAAGTTGAAACAGGAAAAATGCTACATTTCAGTTTGGACTCATAACGTTATCCATTGATTCCCTCCATAAAAGTATTATACCTATACTAAAATTGCCAAAGCTAAAAAAAATTTACATATTTGCATGAGGTTTGGAAATCCAGTACTATGTAGCTCAGCCTGGAAAGCAGAATAACATTTAGGTAAAACAATTTACAGAACATAAGCAGGGAAAAATATCCGTGTCCGAGGTGGAAGAGGAAGCCAGGGACGGACAAGACAAGTAAATAAAACCCATCATTCCAAAGCCACATACCATCGCACTGTATTGCATTAAACAAGAGATCTTGAATCTGTGACAGAGCCCTGGGCCGCTGGCTTCATGTGTCTCAGGTACAGTTTTGTGGATTTTCTCAAGGATTGTTTTGGTGTCGCTTTTTGTGTTTGGTTAAAAAAAAAAAAAAAGCAATCCAGGAGTAGTCTTTTATTATTACTTTTTTAAAAATTACTGTTTCTGTAATGCCACCATTCTTGACCCCAGAAGAAAAGGCGGTAAAAGTCAACTCTTAAACGCAGGCAGTCCCTCCGTCTGGATATCCAGTTTTCTTTCCTCTCGCTTGCTGCAGACTGTTTCTCCTGGTGGACTTGAAACCCGTCCAGAGTGTGTGTGTGCGTGTGAGTGTGTGCATGTGCATGTGTGTGTGTGCGCGCGCGCGCGTCGCGGGGTTTCATTGTTGTGTGGGGAAGCCTGTGCTAAGGGGCGGGGGCCGCCTCTCCACCCGCGCTCCGGGCGCCGGGCAGTGGC